TAGTAGGTTAATGAAGTCCAACAGTTTAATTCTGAGTAGTCTTCTATGGAGAAGATATGTTTTATAAAGTCATGTACTTGGTCCCCTTAATTTTTTTTTTCTTTCCCAGAAAAGTGACTTTTGTGACTGACCAAGTTGTAGGGAAACTATTTTCTTCCTCAATTGCCAACTACCCATTTAGAAAAGTAAAATTGGACTTCCTTTCTCAAGCACTACATTTAGCCTAACCAAGAGATGCGGAGATTATATTATTCTTTAAGCCGGCTTTCTTTTTTGACTTGTTTGAAATGTATTTTTGAAAGGAATAAAGTACTATTAATTTTCATTTACATATAGTCTTCTGCTCAATTTAGAAATTGCACAATAACATGACATTTTTCTATGAGCACATTGTGCATGGATGGATAAGTATTTGTATCTTAAGAGTCTTCCATCATCCCCACTCCAAAATCTATGTGTAACTGAGTCTGTAGCCTCAGAAAAAACACAGGGAAGCTGAGCTGAGGACTCTTTTTCTTTGCTTGGTCTTGGTAACAAACACTATTCCATTTTTCCAACATGGCACATTTATATAAGCAGCTTGGGAAAGATGTTACCTATTTTTTAAATCAGCTCTTCTCTTACAAATTAGATGTACTCAGTAGCGGAAATAAAAGATCCCTGCAGGTAGAGCGAGATCTTCAGAACTGGAAATGAGGTTGTAAAGGAAGGTATAGCTTCATCCACAGCCCTTGGGGCGGTCTTCCCTGCTCTGCTTGTTAGTGCTGTGGGTGGCTCCTTCCCCTTGTTACTCGTTTTCCCAACTGGAAACAGTGTCAACAGCAACCAGCTCATCTAAAAGTTGGAGAGTCTGAAATATCTTTTATGGGACTTTTAGATAATAACATTTATACATTTTTGATGATTATAAAAATAAGTGCTTATTATAGTAGGAAATTAGTAAGTGTAAAGGAAAACCACTGTTAACTGATAAGACTTATTTTCCTGACTTCCCTGTTACCCAGCTTAGTAAAGCTTGCGGGGAAAGGACAGCCATTCCCACAGCCCCTACTCTTAGTTGTATTCCTTTAAGTGATATTCTTTTCCAGATAGTCTGCAAATAATTCCGTTAGTATAGATAGTTGGAGCAAATTCATACTATAAACAACTTTGTTTAAAGGATTTTTTAATATTATAATAAACCCACACCCAAAAAGGATAAGGTACTTTTCAAAAGGCCAGAGGAAAAATCAAGCAAAGCAAAACAAATGAACATAAATGTAAATAAGGTTTTTTTTACCATATTTAAGCAAATGTCTCTCAAAAAAATGTATTTCCTCTGTTCATTAGCTAAGAAGTTTCGTGCCTCAAGAAGTTTTGGATTTAGAGTAGGACTCTGTCTTAGTGTGGAAAGGAGAAAACTGCAACCTTCCAGGGCTCTTTTCCTTTACCCTCCTCTTCTGTGGCAACATGGGGTTAAGGCTGTACCTTAAAGCACCTAAATCATAAATGGGAATCAGGGAACTCTGGAATAGCTGGCAGGAACCAGTTGGAGCTTATTTATAAACAGAAGTGCTTTTTGGGCGTCAGATTTCTTCTAGCTTCGTTATTGTGTATAAGTCACTGTGGGGCTCTGTTGGGTGCGTCCTGTAATCTTGCCCATTCCCCTCTCCAGCCTCTGGATTTATCTTGCTTTTGCCCAATCAATACGGACTTTTTAGGTTGGGCTTTTGTTTTGTGCAAGTAAGTTTCTGATCCCAGATTTGGTGAATGTGTTAACACTGCTTTGTGAATAAATCAATGAGTGATCTGCTGAACAGTTGCAATCATAGAATTATGTTGTATGTAATGTACATATGGAGAAAGAATGTATTTTGTTCATTTTCTTAATAAAAAGTTATATATGGACACTACAAAATGTCTGTTGTGTTTTCTAAATCTGTTTTTTGAAATCAGCTTTTAACATATCTATGTACTTTGCAGTTACTCTGTTTTTTTCCTCAGACAGGTGAGTTTTCTTCAGGATTCCAAAGATGAAAAGGGATACCTATTATAGAATGGTCTTTGGACTTTTCCTTTTGAGGCAATTCTGAAATATAAAGGTCTGGTAGATCTCACAAAGTTTCTGGGGGAAGTTTCCTTTTTCCTTTTTTTTAAGACTTATTTACACATATAAGAGCTTGGAAGTAGGCTAGAGGTGTGGGGGATGCAAAGGTTCCCCAGCGACAGAGTGGGGAGCAGAAGAGGCAGATCGAATGAAATGCACTGCTGAGGGGAACAATGGTCAAGAAAGGAGAGGTCTGCTGTGCCATGTGGGTCAGCTCCCTGGCCAGGGATCAAACTCGTGCTGCAGTGGCTGGATAGCTTGATAGCACTGAGACTTTAATCCCTGCACCACGAAGGAGACCTCAAAAGTATTCCATTTTAAAGAACACTAGCAAGTATTTTCAGATTCTTTTTTTTTTTTTTTTGACCTACTGCTAAAGCTCTATTTTATCTATTTTGTAAAATTTGAACTTGTGTTCCCAGGTTTTAGGGACTTATTTGTAAAGATTAGGAACCAGAAGGAAAGAACTGAACTGAAATAGAAAATAAGTTGTAGAAAAAGTAATGGAGAGAGAACTTTAGAAGTGTTGCAAAGGTTAGAAATAATCTGCATCCTGTTCCCAGTGATGGGAATAGAAACTTTATGGGTGGGAGGAGGAACAAACAAATAGGCCCAGTGAAAATAACGTGTTGTTCGGGCTACGTTGTGTGAACTCTCCAGATAGATGTTCGGCGCCAAGATCTCCTTTTGACCCTTCCATTTTCTAGCGTGCTGTGCATTTTCTTGACTCTGTCACTACTCTGTGGTTAGTTGTCAACTGAGTTAACAAGGATTGTATCTTCTCAGTATATATGTAATCATCTCACGGTGTGGCTATCATTTGCAGTGTGTGCTTTGAGTGTGGCTTATAAGTAAAAATTGTCTTCAAACGTGCAATAAGGTAAGGAATTGGCCTTTCCTTGGTTAATCCTCCAGGGAATTAACTCAAAAGAAATGAAATGTGAGATACCATCTCCTCTCCCTGTGTATTATTTGTCTTCTGGTGGGTCAACAATAAAGAGGTTTGTGGTGGAGTACAGTTAGACGCCAGCCAGCTGCTGCACGCGTGCGTGCAGAGAGCTACCGGAACTGAGCACACTGCCTCCCAGGCTTCTGCCTGCCCAGGCATAATCCAGCATCTTGCAGGAAAAGGGCTCTAGGTACTCACGTTCAAATACTTACAAGAGACAACCTTATAATTCATAGAAGTTGAAAAAAAGGGGTTTTTCCAGTAAAGGAAGGCAACATTCTTGCCACTGACCCTTCAGATTCTGACGACCAGCCGGAAGACTAACCGATGGCTTTTCTGAACTTTTTTTTTTTTCCCTGAAGTCAGTGCTGGTGTAGGCTTAACTAGTACGGGTGAGGTTTCGCCCTTGCTGTCACCGCGTATTATGCCACCTCTTTCTCTGCCTATTATAGATCCCAGAAGGAGAAGAGGAAGGGCCGAGTGGACACTTGATGGCACAGGGCAAGAGGGGCAACAGAGGCTTGGAACTGTCGAACTCTGAGCTTCTTGAGTGTCCACCAAGGACCTTCCTCCCCCCGGGCTTTTGATTTACATTCTCTCCAGAGATTTTACAGGGGAAAAGGCTACAGATAGAGGTGGCCCCTCCACTGCTGTGTGGGTGAGTTTTGGTTGAGACAAACCCGGAGGGAGACGAGGACGCCAGGCACTGTCTTCGCATGCACTTACAGCTAGTGCCCTCTGAACTGGGGCCGAGGGATCGGTAACCCAGGGCAAGAGGCAGGAATCCTGGGTCTATTTCCAGGTCCACCCAGTGACTTCTGTGTAACGCGGGGCACAGTCCCAACTTCTTTTTTTTTTTTGGAGAATGTTGGCAGCAGGTCCTGTTTGCTATGATCTCCGTGATGTTTTTTATGTCTATAAAATGCCAAGGTTTTTGAAAAATATTTGCTCAGTATTATCATTAGTATTAATTATTGTAGACAGTCCTTTTCAGTGTTGACCTTTTCCACCCTTAGGGTACAGAAGAAATACACATTTTGGAGGGGGCTTATAGGAGGGAGGTGGTCATAACAGGCATAACAAAAAAACGACAACTGAGAGGGCCTTTTGGTTGGCAGGGCAGGAGCAGGGTGAATGACCTATTCAGGAAGAGAATGGGTTTAATTTGTGGCCAGCGATAAACTATGAGTCATTCTCTTCTTAGAACAGCATGCCTCCAGCATGGCCAAGGGCCTGCCCAGGTTCCTGGTACTTGTGTTCCTTTCCTGGCACACTCTTACAGTTAACCTCAGGATACCCCTGGGCCAACTCTGGTCTACCCTTCAGGGTGGTAATTGCCTTCAGTCCCATATAAAAGGAGGGCATATTGGAAAGGTAGTTGTATTCTAGAAAGGTGTTTTGTTATTGGAATTCAAGCATAATTAGGAAAAGAACGTAGGACTAAGGAGAGAAAAGTTACAGACTTTTCTACTCCTTAGAGAGAGCTCTTTATCTCTGTTGGTAATGTTCCCTGTTGGTAAAGTGGCTACAGTTTCTCAGGTACGTGTTCTTGTAATTTCTCAGAAATGTAAAAAATCTTTTCGATTTACATTCTCTCCAGAGATATTACAGGGAAGAAAGGCTACAGGTAGAGGTGACCTTTCCACCTCTGTGTGTGAGTTTTGGTCGAGACAAACCCAGAGAGGGAGATGCGGGCAGCCATGCTGGGGGCTCCCTGTTCAACAGAACAGGGTGTAGCAACCCTGAGTGTGGCCCTCGTTCACCTGCAAACTGGGAATGACAAAGCTTTCGCCTGCCAGTAGGTGAAGATAATAGCAGTAAAGATCATACCACCCTAGGAGATGGAGGGAATCTGATGACTCTTGAGCGATTCCTTTCTTGAACATCTTTCATCTTCACTAGTCTCTGGATAAGGGAAAGGCGGAGATTCCGTGTGACAAGTGAAAAGGTCCTTTATGGGCACAATGGATGGAATAGAGCCTTTTATTTTTTGTATTTTTATGTGTTCCATCCCTATGTCAATTTTCATAACTGATCAGGATTTATCGGGCCCCATGGGATCTTGGGTGTGGCTGATTCGCAGTTGTGTCTGAGACAGAAGTAGTGGGGAGGAAAAGGATAAGACGATAGAGTGGAGGAAACCTCTTCCGCTCTCTGGACCCACAACATTCAGCAGCCCTGCCTGAGAGCAGCAGCTACCACACCCACTCGAGGGTGCCTGCTGTCCGGGGTGTTTTGTGATGAGCCTCACGCACGTCAGAGCACAAGCCAATCACAGCGACATACTAGGGCTCGGGCTGGCTTACACAAAAGCACTTTAATTGACAGTATACAACTTTCCAAAATATACTTTTGTAAGAAAATGGCAATAATTAAGTATAATCTTTACACGTTTCTCAGTAAATTCCAGTGTACTTCAGACCCCTGTCCTCTAAGACACATGCTCCCCCAGTGTCCTGGGCAAACTGTTGAACATTCACTAATAAAAGACAGAGTGACCCTCTCCCCGCCACTCAGTGCTGGGATGTCCCCACCTGAGTGAGTCCACCAGTGAGAATGCTGGATGGCCACAGCTTTCCTCTCGCCCCATCCTCTTCCTCTGTCCTGTTCCTTTGATCCTTAGTTCTGCTAGTAGATCCACATGTAAAAGCCCACTCGAAAACTGCTCCTGGGCAGAAAGAACTGTTCAGAAAGTCTTAGACCTAGATAACTCATAGGCACTGGAGAGGACCGGTAAGACTCCTATCTTTATCTTCTCTGTGCCCTCCCTGACCTTGCTGCAGTAAGTCCTTGGAAAGCACTTTGTGGCATCCCCATGCCTGCCTCGTCAGCAGTGCGCTGACTGCTTCTGGCACACAGCGCTGGGCTGTTTCTGTCCCAAACCGCTGGATTTTGACTTTGGCTAAGTCACTTTCCAGGCTTCAGTTTTTTTCTTGGAAAGGATTGAACGACGTCTCCCTTGCCCTCCCCCAAGACTGGAGTGGCACTTCCCAGCCAGCACATAATGTCCAGTCCTCACTGCAAGAGGGCTGGGACTTGGCTAGGGAAGGGCAAGGTTCCTATTTAAAAGTACAAATGCCCATTCTGCAAGACAAGTCCATGCTCACCTGCCTGTCTTAGATTTTTCTTTTTTCATTAAAGAAAACAAAACTTTATCATTTCTAGTAGACATTTACATTCTTATTCAGAGGGAAAAAAAATAAAAACCATCACCCTTAGCTAACAAATGTTTTTCCAAAGTATATTCCCTTAAAGTAGTGCAGGTGGATTAATGTGGCCACTGTATTTACAGTATCAAAAAATGTGCATATATGTATCAGCTTGTACTTGTTTTTCAAAGTTTCTCCAGAACATTATCAAACAAAGATAAAAGCTCAGAAGTGGTTTAAATAAACTATCTGCTAGCCTTCCTTATCAAGAGGGGGAAAAAGAACCTTGCATCCAGGCTGGATTAAACCCGTACTCTTGTCTATGATGCAATATATATATATTCTGTACCTCCTCCTTAAGCATCGCTGCCTCTCTTCCCCCTCACTGGCTGCAGGCACCCCATTAGATCTGGTCCAATCATGAAATTATGGTTTCTGGCCTTTTGTGCAACTTAGGGAAACCAGCAGTTTGCCACTGAAAGAGCTTGACACAACCTGTTGCAGTTACACTGAGTTCCTGGTGTTCACTTCTCTCTTCTCAGCCCCAGAATCTGAATTGCCAAACAGCATTTAAAACCCAGTAAAGATACAGGAAGAAGATGACCCTGACAGACATATGGCTGGATGGCCTCTGACATGGATGTCAGTGGCGAGAGCAAGCCAAAGAAAGCGCTAGAACCTGGCGTTGCCCTAAAGGACGAGAGGAACACAATTTGGTGGCACAAAAGGAACCTCAACCAGGCCAAAGCTTCTCAAGGTTCTCTGGACAGAGCCATAGTGGTTCCTCTTCACCAAGCCTAAGTTTTAACTCTAGGCCTTTCCAGTCAGCCTCTCTCTCCCAAGAAGCTTTGAGGTTGCAGCCTTTGCTCTATTTGCAGGGGTGTATTTGCTGTCTCTGTCTGAAGGTGCAGCTGGCAAAATGGAACCAGGAATAGTAATCCTGTCTGACCTCTGCCAAGGAACCATGATAGAAGCCCACTGGGAAGAAAGAACCAAACACCAGCTGGAAAGGAAGCACACAGGTCCCTCCTCGCAGAATAAGATTTCCTCAATGTTCTCCCAAGCTTGCAGTCTCCTTCCTACCCAAATCAAAGGCTAGAGAATCAGGACAAATACTTGTGGATCCCTGTGAGCCTCTTTGTACCCTAACTCTTGGGAAACTCGCGGTGCTGGGGGGGGAGGGGGCCGGTCTTGATTAAATCCCCAGCTCCTTTCCCCCTAGGATATCAAAAGGCTAATGAGGCAGCCAGGCACACAAGGACCCAGATCTTTCTGCTAAGCTTCCCCCCGACACACACGCTTAAAAAAAACAGCCTACCTCAAATCAATGTAGTCGGCTTCACTAGCACTATCTCAGCCTGGCCTGCCTTCAGGACGCTGTGATGCTTTTTGCCCTGAAATGACTTTTCATTCACCACCCCCTAGTTCTGCCCATCATTGTGATGGCCCAGGAACAAGACTCCATGGTTCCAACGTCCACACAGGATTCCCTCACCTCAAAAAAAAAAAAAAAAAAAATTAAACCTTATACTCAGTCCAAAGTTGCCGCCAGTGTAGCCACAAACAGCTGAGCTCTCTCAAAGCCCCTCTACTGGGGGGCACAAATGGCCTTTTGTTTCCCTGAGATGCTACCAGAATCTGCACAACTGGGAAGCCCCTAGAATCTAGTAGAGAAGAGGATATGGTTGGGCCAAGCTCCATGCCAGGACCATGAGAGGTCACTGGGGACACCCAGCCCCCTACTCCCACCCCACGAGCTCTCCCTTACAATGGCCATGTTCTAGACCTTCTTGCCCTGCAGCATAGGATAATCAGGAGTCAGTGAGATTAACTAATTGAAAGTTGACCAACAAGTTGAGCTTTGGCTTTTGGCAGTAGAGGGCTGGAATAAAAAAAAGAGAACAAATTCTCAGCAACTTGAGAAGTCCCTGAGTTTCCCATGAAAGAGTAAAGCCTACCCTTCCCGCTTGCTTCAGTAGATTGTCTGTGAAGACACAGCTTTGCTGGCTGGGGCCCCAGGAAAGTCTGTCCTAAAGCTACTGCTCTTTCACACTGCATCTTGGGGGGATCCTTGCCTGACTTCGCCATCATTGTCTGAGCGGCGAACAACAAAATAGGAGCTCTTTGCCTTCATTAGCTGCTGCAGAATTTAGTTCCCAGTTGAGTGGGAACAGGAAGCCAAAGGCGCTCCGGGTGGGTGATGGGCCGGGCCTCCTGGGGTGAAGGGATTCCCTTCAGCAGCCCTCGGTTCACACTGATACTCTTCTATGGGGTAAGTCCCGAGCTCACTAAGCACAGCAAGGAAACCAGGATCCAGAACAAGGGGTTCAAGGTCACGAATAGCCTGTATCACTTCCTCCCAGGGGCCAGGGACTGAGTGGGGATAAAGACTGAGCCTGGAGAGGGGACAGACAATGGGGATGGGAACGTTGGCAGACGAGGTTGGGATAGTAGACAAAACTCTCCGGACTTACACTTTCAAGTAACCAGATCCACTGAGACGGGATCAGCCCCGCCCCGTTCCCGTGCCTGGACTGGCAGCTTCACCCTACCCAGGGCAGCGTGAGGAGAGAATGGCTGACGACAGCCTTGAATGTGGTGGGAATGGGCACTGGACTGAACAAAGGAGTCTGTTTTCATCTTGACTCGCCAAGTGGCCGTGCAACCTTGACCTCACCCTACTTAGGCCTCAGTCATTTCATCTGTGCAATGAAGGGAATCTACTAGAAGATCTCTAAAGTCCCAACACGGCTCTTTCTGGAGCTCCCTTCCTCCCATCTTCCAGCAGCACTGAGCTCAGGCACTAATGGGTTATTTTACAAGAGGAATCTAGACAGAATGTGATTTGTTCAGCTTGAAAAGGGAAAAATTAAGGCCCTGTGGGTTTGGGAGGAGGGAATCCTCTGAGTCTCTCCCTCCCCAGTCTTCCCCTCAAATGGAAAGGATTTTCTGCCCTTGTCCGAATGGCACTTGAGGTGGTTCAGTCTGGAGCTCTGTGGTGCTGTCAGAGGCCACCAGCCGACCTGGTTAGAGGTGTGTGTCCTCCTCCTCATCGAGGTCATCCTTGATCAGGTTGTCCAGAGGGACGATCCAGCTGTCCCCCAGCTCCCCATTAAGGTTGACCACCTTTTTTTCTTGCATCTCTGATGAGGTCTCCATCACTTCCAGCGTGGGGTTGTCATGGTAACCATTCTCCACTGTCTGCAGCTCCTCTGTGAGTCGTTGCTAGAAGGACAAGATGACCCAAGAAGAAGGGGTCAATTTTGAGGGCCACTGGCCTTAGTATATAGCTTTTCTCTAACATGTGTACCCCTACAATCCAGGAGCCCCAATTTGATGAGCATCAAGTGCCTCCTGGCCACCAGCCTGCCTTGACTTTAGTGGAGACTGGGACTTGTCCAGCACCCTTACGTCCCTATCTCAAGCCACTTATGCCCTGGTGGCAAACCTGTGAGGTCAGTGGAGATTGACTTCATTCAACAGAGTCTTCCAATGTCATTTTTTCCCCACAAACCTAACTCTCCAATCATCTGCCTTCCCTCATTAATGAATGGGGAAGGACTATAAGAAAGTGACTTTCAACCCACCTGGTGACTGAGCAAGATGGCTGAATCTACAGCAGATAAGGGCCATAGGAGACAGCGCGCTCTCTCCATCTTTATCTGAGATACAACCTGGTTGCACAGTAGAGTCACATAGAAAGCTTTTAACAAACCCAGTTGACCCTTGGATCACACTGTTGGGTTAAGGTCCCCTAACCCTGCAGTCAAAAGCCCAAGCACAGTTTATAATTCATGTTCTTCATCCTCAGATTCAACCCAAGGATGACTGATTCTGCTATGCAGAGCCCATCGATAGAAAAAAATAAGCCCACATAAGTGGACCCGAGCAGTTCAAGGTCAACTGTGGATTGATCCGCAGATCCTGTTTCAAGTGCTATGTGAGGAAGCCAGGTGTGGATTTCTTTAAAATGGCCCATAACGTGAGAACTATGGGTATGGCTGGGCTGGTGATGGGAACTCTAGTAAGGGTGTGAAAAGCATTAGGCTAGAAGGCATGGCTAGGTCCATTCATCTCTGTGGTTCCCAAGAACAGCTCTGCAAATGTTACCCCCACTATGTAGGTGAGAAAATTGATGCTTGGAGATTGAAACACTTGCTCAAGTTCACAGAGGTAATGGGAGGCCGTGCCTGGGCATAAGCCAAATCCTTCTGACTCCAAAGCCCTACGTTCTTCCCTTCCACAGTGCTGCCACTGTCATTTCCCATGGAAGCGTCCCTCTCCCTTAAAGGAGATCCACAGCCCACTCGCTCTCCTCTAATGTAGCAATAATGGGGTGACAGTCATTTGGTGAGCTGGAGATGCTTCTCCTCACCTGGTCCTTCCGCTGGGAGAGACGCTGGTGACAGCAGCCATAGAGGGCGGCCACCAGGAGCAGAAAAGATGCCATGCACACGATGGTGATGATGAGGGGCATGCTGAACCGGTCCTCCGTCTCTTCGGGTGGCCCCTGGCCCCCAAGCTGCATGTTACTGACCCCGACCTGGCCAAGGAGAGAGTTAGGTGGTAGAAGCAGGTGTGGGTCACCCTCTCTCCCAGTGAATGCCCTTTCACTAGGAACTCATCTGCTGGCTGTTTGGTGGGGCACATTTCACACCCACTGTCTCTTAGAGGTAAGAGGCATCTTACCCTCCTGCCTTCTAGATGCTTCCTCTACAATGAGAGACAAGCAAAGCAACATGCACATCCCAGTGACTGGCGACCCCCTCTGTCCCAACACCCGGGAGGAGCCCACTTACCTCTTTTAGATCATCCCACTTGGGTTTCAGCAATTCATATACGTCCTGGGGGAGGAGCTTTGCTATGGGGAGGAGGGAGACATGCTGCTTCAGTGGCCTGCTCAGAGTGGCATGGTACGGGATGGAGACGGGGCCCCAAGAGGAGGACACACTAGCTCAGTAACCTGAGGGTGTCCCCTGGGTGGCTGGGAGGGGTGGGGGAGGGGGAAGAGTTGCAGGTGCTTAGGAAACCAAGGGAACACCGACAAGGAGCCATCCTCATGCTTCTGAATCGTCACCTCCCCCTCCAACTCATTCCCACCCTACAAAGGAACTTCAGCCCTCAACTCACTCTCGATAGTGATTTCTTTGATTGCCATTTCCTGGCTTGATAGAATAGGCGCCAGCCGTACGTGGCACTGATCCTGGGCTGGGTTGAAGGTGGCTTTTGCAGCTCGGCATAGAAGCATGACCAGTTTGTCATCGGAAGAGCTCCCCGCCTGCTGTGTGGAGACCACAGGACATGATGGCAGCTTCAGCTTGTGGGGCTGCCCTTCGAAGCTTGGGTTGGGGGAAGCCCTACTGCCTAGATAGACCTGTCCCCCTGTCCAGCCTGGGTGGGTCCCTGCCTCACGTGATCTCCCTGCGTCCCCTCACCTGCTTATCTCCCCTGTGGTTGACAATACTCTCTCCCCAGTGATCCTTTTTGCCCTTCAGGATCTCGACTTGATGCCCCTTATCCTCTCTCTCTAGAAGGGGCAGGAGGCACCATCCAGCACCCCCACCTAGGACGAGTGGGAGGACTCCACAGTTCTCCGAACCTGCCCCCTTGCCGGCCCCAACGCCCACTTCAAAGACCCTCAGTGTTCAGTTCGAAGGCCTCCGAGCTGGAGCCTAGCTCTCAGCTAGAGGTCATGGTTCCCAGAGCGGAAGCGTCTGTCCTCTCCCTAGGCTCACTGACTCTGATGTCATGAACAGGCTGGCGGGGGAGAGGAGAGGCCATCATTTCCCAGGAATGTGGGGGCCTCTTCGGTGAATCTTCTGCCTCGCTAACTGGGGGCTGGAGGTGAGAAGCAAAGTGTGAGCAGATGCACCTGAGCTGGGGTGTCTCTGACCTGACAGTGGATGGAGAAAAGCACTCAGTACGGTCACCTCAGGGCCCCCCAAACTACCCCTTGGGTTTCTACCTAGGCTTTCCTTAGGCTCCCTCATTCCTCAGCCTGATACCAGAGCTTTACCTTCCTATACAAAGGGGGGGGAATGCTTCTCAAAACCTATCATGCAACCCCAAATTTAAGTCAAAAAAAGGGTCTGAGGAAAGGCGGGGCTGGCATCAGTGCCTTAAGCCCAACCCCAGGGGAACAGTCTCCCTCTGCAGACTCCAGTCTAAAGGTATACTCTTGTAAAGTTCACCCAGAAAATCCCAGCAAGATAGACACCTAAAAGAAGACAACTGCATAAAAGGGGCAGCATTCAAGTTCTCCATCTTTAGCAACCTTCACGGTTCAGTTCAGGTTCCAAGAACACCTAAGGGTGTTTGCTAAGATGGCTACTGACCAGGAGAGGGCAGCAGTGAGCCATCCGGCGAACAGGTCCACCCGCCTTGCAGAGAAGCCACCACCCCAGGGAGCTGGCAGGCTTTTACCCCTCGGGCACTCACATGTGCTCACCCCCAGTGACCCCTCCCCAGAGCGCACACACAGTGAATGAGCTGAATGAGCGCGTGCTGGCTGCTTAGGACGGACCCCTCAGGGGAGAGAGAAGGAGGCGTGAGACAATACCTGGACCCGGAAATAGAAAACCACAGACTCTCTGGAGAGGTGCGTCAGGCAGATTAAGCCTCTCATTTTCTGTACTAGTTTCAAAATTTCTCAGTGTGGCATTCGTTTACAAAGCTATGTGCCTTCAGGAATCCAGCCTCACACCTTGACTGCGTGAGCTTGAGGCCTCTCGAGCTCACACTTGAGTCAAGCCCTGAGCTGACAGATCCAGGGCCCTCAGGCCACTGGAAAGAGGAGCCTGGGGAGTGTGGGGAGTGGGGGAGCCGGGAACCAGCCACGGGGAACCACTGGTTCTGGAGAATTCGGAACCTGGGTGTGGGTCCCTCCAAGAGGTGGGGAGGGGCCACTGGCCAGGAAACCACAGCGCCAGGAAATGGACACATCCCTCAGTCCCTTTCTAGAAGGAGCGATTCATCCCCTTCTTCCTCCCTAACTTGTGACTAAGTGCCTATTGGGGGTCTTACTCAATAAATGTGGGGTTTGGGTCGGTGAGGTACTCACACAGAGTCCAGTGTTTGTGAGGTTCAGGACGAGCATCTTCTCATTCCGCTGCTCAGGAGGCTCACACTTTATCTGGAAGAAGCCACTGGGATTAAGGTTCAGGCGGAGCCTGGCAGGGTCTCATTGGTGATCCCTCCCCTCCCATGGGCTGGTGGTGCAAAGGAGGAGGAGGGGGGTGCAAGCCTGGGCCAGGCAGCCGCCCTGAGGGGGTACACTGGGTGGCTGCTCCTGGCTCTCCCCACCAGGGACCCTGGGAGGAGCCCCTTCCATATGCATTGGGATCTGCTTGTCTTCCCTGCCCTTGCTGGAATTACCCTGTGGTAGCCAAAAGTCGGGGTGGGAGAAGGGCTGGAATCTGGGGGGGCTGTAGAAGGCAACAGAGTGGTGGAGCCTGTGGGTCCCGTGCCTGTGGCCACAGGCCCCAGTGAAGGGCCTGTAGGCTGCGGAGTCTCAGTGGAAGGTGTCCAGGTGATGGAGGTTGAGGTCCCAGGGACGGTTTGCATCTTGCTGGTGGTCTGCGGGTTGTCTGATGAGGTGACCGACGGTACTGTCAGTGGGAAAGCAGAGGTGATGAGAAAAGATGCACGGCACCTTTGAGAGAAGAGGGCAGGTTTTCTTGTTCCAAATATTTTCCCAGTGTCTTTAGTCTTATCCCCAACCAGACTACAAGGTAAGCAGGCTATCAGGAAAAGGAGGCCACTGATGAAGCAGCTTCTATTACAGGATACGAACCAGGTGAGAACCTGATGAATGAGCCATGGCGTGGTGTGGGCTGCTGTGGTCAGGGCTCACTTTGTGCCAGTCTACTTATGGGGCCTCAAGGGTACTTTCTTATTTGAGCCTCACAACCACCCTATGAGGAGGGTATCCTCATCCCTAATTTTCTAAAAAGGTAAACTGAGGCTCAGATGATTTGCCCAAGGTCACATGCTACCAAGGGCACAGCAGGGATTTGAATCCAGGTTTCTCCAACCCACAGCCCTGTCCTCACTGCAGGATGCGACCTCGTCCCCGGCTCCTCCAAACGCCCGAGGATTCCTGGACAGGGGGATGCTCAGGGTCACACTCAGAAATTCTGGTGCCATAAATTTGACAGGGGCCACGATTTTGAAGCTCGTGATCCAGCAATGAATTTTGAAATTAATTTACGAGGTTAAGGCCAATAATAAGAACGAAAAGAGGGTTCTCCCTGGTGGCGCAAGGGGTTAAAAGCACAGCACTATGAAGCTATCTGCAACCGCTGTAGCACAAGTTCGATCCTCCGCCAGGGAGCTGACCCACATGGCGCAGCAGACCTCTCCCGACCCATCTGCTGCTCCCCTCAACAGTATATTTCAGTCAGCAGGGTGCACCCTGTGTAGGAAGATAAACCCGCGGGAGAAACCTTGGGGTCCAGCCTGTGTTACACGCATGTGTCCAGACCATGTAATCAACCCTTTGAGACACAGCCCCCCTCCCCTTGCCCTCAGAGAGGAGGCTGAACTCTCAGGACCACACGCCCTGTGCCTGCCCCTGGGGGCACAGGGGGAAATGGAGGTGAGGGTTCTCAAGAGCAGGCCCTACAGCTTCCCGCTGAGCAGCAGCCCCCAACATAAGGATTTCCAAGTCGCTTCTTGCTTGAAAAGAGAGCAGGCTGACTCACAGGGTGTGCTCGCCTCGCCCCCAGACGTGGCGGTGGGGTCCGGGGTGCCCGAGCTGCCGGAAGCTGCAGTGGTTTCGCCTGGTTGGCCCGGCAAGCTCCCTGGGGGGCTCGGAGTAGTGGGGGCCAAGGTCTGCAGGGCAGGGCTCCCTGGGGTAGTCGAGGGCGCGGACGCGAGACCGGTGCCAGGGGGTGAAGTGGGCTGCGTGGTGGGCTCCAGAGTGCCCGGCACGGCGGCTGTGCTGGCGCTGAGGCCGCTTTGGGCTCCAGCCCCAGCCGTTGTTTTACTTCCCTCAGGGCTGGTGGTTACCGGCTGAGGGGGGGCTGTGGTCGGTGGCCGTGTGGCCAGGGTCGAAGCCTGGGGAGGCTGCGTGTTGCCAAGGGTGCTGCCTGAGTCCGGGCTCCCCGGCACCCCCGTGGTGTGGCGTGGAGGTGGGGTCCCCACCACCGCCAGGCCGCCGGGCGCTGTTGAGGGGCTACTGGCCACCAAGGTCGGGGCGGCAGAAGTCGGGCCGCTGCTTGCGCTGACGGTTGTGGGCTTCTGGGTTTCAGTGCTGGCGGCTGGAGATGTGTGGGACGTGGTTGGGTCTGTGGCCTTCGCGGTGGTTACCGGCTGAGTCGTGGGCTGGGATGCTGTTGACCAAGACAACACAGAATCAGGTTAGGGATTTTCTGAGCAGCCCTTGCTGAAGGCCTGGGCCCTTAAGAGGGAGTCAGACAGAATCAAGGCCAACTGTGGAAAGGAAAGACGAGACCAGCTCAGCCCGCTGTGTGGGGGCCTGCAGCTAAGCCCATGTCTCCCCATCCCACCCCAGGCCTTGTGTGTCCACCAGTAGCCACAGAAACAGGCCGCCCTAATCCCCTCTGCTTCCTGCCAGGCACCCGACCCCACAAAAGACTCAACAGACTCACACTATGTTGAACATGGTGGTCAACCCCCCACCTTGTTAGGGGGTCAGGAACAAGAGTCCTTTTCAGTCACCTAACACATTATTAATAAATTTGAGCAAGGTAATGCTGGTCTACATTGTTTGTATTTTGAAAGTATAGGAACCCCCCTACCCCCTTTCAGCATTCCCAGAGTCCACCAACACCTCCCCCTCTGAATGCCTCACTTCTCTACTTTCAAGGGCCAGGCTTAATTGATTGAGGGAAATAATAGCTTCCACGTCAGGTTCTGGGGGACAAATGTTGACTAAGATACAAGTCATCCTTACCCTCAGATAATTAACCTTCATGTGAGTGAGACAGACGTTCAACAAATGGACCGAACAGTGAGCCATGAGTCTGGTGACTGCATGGAGGAAATGACCAAGGAAACCCTCAGAGAACAGGCAGAAGAGGCTGTTTAGACAGAGGGAAGAGAAGGCAGCATTTAAGCTGAAGAGGATGGATAGCAAGGAGGAAGCTGCCTGAGGAATGGGAGGAGAGGCAAGGCAGGAGTAAGGAACAGAACCTGCAAAGGCCCCAGAGTTAGGAAACGAGCAAAGAGAAGGTCAGATGAAAGGAGTTTAGTGACTGAGGGGCTTGGGGGCTTCAAATAATGCAGGGCCTTCTAGGTAAAGTGGCAGTGGCTTACTGTCCCAATGATATGTTTTTGAGAATAAAAGAGAAGCTTCTTAAAAGTCACATCCTGGAATGGTTTCACTCATAGCAGGAGTATAATGGACCAGGTGGAAAATAACAAAAATAATGAACAACCATATACCAGAGACATTTTGTGGGGGTGGAGTGGGGAATGGGATCAAAAACGGGGTGGGGGGAGGGAAGTGCATGGGATTATGGTGATGGCACATGGGTGACTTGGTGATGAGAAACCCGCGGGGATTACAATTGAGATGGAAAAAAAATGTACAAAATGATGTAAAAATAAACTTTTGTAATAAAAAAAAAAAAGTCACATCCTGGGGCCCTCCCTGGTGGCGCAGCAGGTTAAAGCACAGCACTGGGAAGCTAAAGCCACTTCCGCATGAGTTCCATCACCGTCTGCCCCAGAGGAGATCCACATGGCGTGGCAGACCTCTCCTGACCCACCCGCTGCTCCCCTCAGCAGTGTACTTGATCAGTCTGCCTGTTCTGCTCCCCACTCTGTCTCTGGTGAAGCCTCTCGCCACCCCTGAGCCTCTGGCCTGTACCCCAGTTCTGTATGCACAAATAAATAAATCTTTAAAAAAAAAAAAGTCACATCGTAGGTTTATGAGACATAAGGTCACCCTCTTTACAGACCAAATAAGAAACTAAAATTCTAGATATTTACTCAAGTACAAAGAGTCAATGAAGGTTTTTTTTTTTAATATTTAAAGATTTTACTTATTTATGCATTCAGAACTGGGGTACAGGGGCAATGAGAGGATTCACCAGAGACAAAGTGGGGAGCAGAACAGGCAGATTGACGAAATACACCGCTGAGGGGAGCAGCGGTGGGGGGGCAGGAGAGCTCTGCTGTGCCATGTGGATCAGCTCCGGGGTGGAGATCGAACTCATGCTGAAGTGGCAGGGGCTCGCTTCATAGTGCTGTGCTTTAACCTGCTGCGCCACCAGGAAGGGCCACAGTGAAGGTTTTAAAGCAAAAACGTTTTCTAGGGTTGATGGACCAAAAAACACATTCTCGTAGCACTGGAAGGAAGAATGAGTGGAAATGGAAGAAGAGGCTATTACAGAATCCAGAGTAGATGAAATGGCCAAAGAGAGGCGCACAGGATGAAAGAGGGTGGGTTCGGACTGCTGTGGAGATGGAATCAATGACCTGCTGATGTGGGGAGTGAAGAGAAGCGGAGCACCAGGTGAGTCCTGGTCCTTGACTGACGGGGAGAGGTAGACTTTTGGCCATTTTTTAAAGTAATAGTTTGTTTTTAACATCATTGTGTACTTTTGCCCATTTTTCAAAGTGAGTCAGAACTTTGCAGTGAGCCATCTTTTCTGTTTGGGGACTTGCCTTCTATTAGAAACCCTGAAAACGCCAGCTCCTTGCCTGTCCAGCCTCCCTGTGATACTACAGTGTGTATTAAACCACGTGAACTCGTACACCCAGGCAGTAGGAGTGAGGAGCCGCATCTGTGAGGAGCGGGGCTGACACGGGTGAAGTCACGGCCACCGGTGGCAGCAGAGGACACGTCCCAGAGCAAGAGCCCGCAGGTAAAGCTACAGCAGCACCTGTTGGGTGGTACTGGTGAGCAGGGTGGGCTTCTTGGGACTGATTCTGTCAGTGGATCAGTGACATTGAAGGTAGTCTCCAGCGATCCAAGCTCCTTCCTAAACTAGACAGTTGCTGACATGCCCTTAATACATACACACACGTGCTTTAGATAGAGACAGAAATTTGTATCAGGTGTGATTGTGAGGACCAGCACCCCAAGAATTCATTATTAGATCTTATCAAGGCGAAAGGCGGTTGGAACTGTGCCAGTCTGAAGGCACAGGACTCTGGTGTCCCACACAGCCCATGGAGAAGCAGCCACACCATCACCTAAGTGAAATGCCCCAGGAGAGGCAGGGCTGAGGCAGCTGCCACACCATGATATGGAAGACTCCCAGGCTAGGGCACGTGCTAAGACGCAGTGCCATGTTATGGCTTGCAACTGACTGTTTTTCTTCTTGGAGTTCATAAAATAAAGATGCCTCTTACAGTTGGTCATGTTATAGTATCTTTTTGGCAACAGACACCTGATTGATGAGGGGAATATTATCGTATTTTAAAAAGATGGTGCAGGATGCGTAAGTCTTAGCATGGTGAACAGCTTAAAAGAGGGTTTTCGCAACCCTGAACTACTGACATTTTGGACTGGATATTTCTTTATTATGGAAAGTCGTTCTACACATTATAGGGTGTTTAACAACATACTGTTCTCTAGCCCTAGAAGCAAGTAACATATACTTGTTTATACATTTGCATACATCCCAAACAGCCCAGCTGACAAATGTACCCTCGGGGAAGGACCAAAAAAAAAAAAAATCACTGCCAGTGGAAACTACTAGCTTAAAGAAAGAAAATAACAAACTCTAATTCCTTGATCTTTCTAACGAAGCACAGACTGGAAACCAGAAGTTTTCTAAGACTATATAAAGCAGTGTCTTTTTGCTTCCTGCTAAAGAGCTGTGATCAAAAGTCAAACTTAAAAGTTTAATCCCACGAGTTCCCAATGACAGAGCTCACTCAGTTAATAACCCCCTCAGGTCCCTGACGTGAAATGGAATGGTGACGCAGGTGAGGAAGCAGATGAATTAACATACTCATAAGTTTCAATCTGCCAGTGGACACAACCCTGATGATTCAGTTCTATCTATCTGGCTTGAACCTACGCTCTTAGTGGCCTCCCTTGAGCTCAGTGACATAGAAAGCTATTATCTCCTTAGTATCTCCACCACTCTTCATTCTTTCCAAACCTGTAGCAACAGCCAGACTCCTGTATGCCCCAGGCAGATAAATAAAAGAAGGCCAATCCCCTAAGAAATAGCTGCCCCCCAAATCTAGCAAATATGTATGTTTATATGATGCTAGATTTAAGGAAGGATAATCATAATTATATATCTAGCCAAATTTATCCACATAGGTATGCACACCAGAAGTATTTTGGATTCAGTATGCTAAGTCAAGCAGCTAGAATTAGTTCTAATTGTTTTATTAGTTGGTTGACCAAAACCTAGTTGCAGTGGTCACCCACATTAAATTAAGTTAGCCAAAATTCCCTGGGATGATGTATAGGATGAAATCCACAGCCTTGGAACGTGAGTGGTTTGTCATACATGACCTGTTCCTTAAGGGAACTGCAAAGACACCGCTCACCGAGAGGAATTCTACAGTCCATGAGTTATACACATCTGTTTCTCCGAAATGAGGATATATTATAAATTATTGCAGGTCACAAATTGATGCTTTTTTTCTTTTCTTTCTAAATGGTTCATAAAATCATAGTGTCATCACTGAGGAACCAAGGAAGAATTTCCTTTGCTTCTGCCTAGCTGTTCTGTGCTGTTCCTTGGCTTTCAATTCCAAATTCTGGCCCCATCATGACAAGACTTTCTTTCCTGCGTCTATGTCTTTCCTCTTCTGAGGACACCAGAGAGTGGATTTAAGGACCACACAGGTTCAGTATGACCTCATCTTAACTTGATTACATCAGCAAAGACCGATTTCCAAACAGGGACCAGTGCTGGGAATTCGGATTTGAACACATCTTTACGGAGGTTCAACCTCCCACTCTGCTACCCTAACCCCACTTATTCCACCACAAAAACAAAACAGAGTTCCTGATTTAAAACATTAGAAATCTTTCTGCTTTAAACAGAATGTGCATTTATTAAGAGGAGAACCTAATTACTTGATAATCTGATCATCTGGGTGGCTCAGTAATTAGGCTGAAGTCAGAAATGATGCCAGAACTCCTCTGAAGGGTCTGGAGATGATGTCACTTCCACCACTGTTGAACATGGGTTGCTACAATTGGCATCACTGGACCCCCTAGTATTAGACACTGAATTTCATTTTGAGAGCACTGAGAATTGAGGAATGCTGTCAGGAAAAGGTCTCTCCATTTACTTTATTGACTGGACATTCAAGTACTAAGAGGTACCACAGGAGATCCCTGGGTTCCATCTACACGCCTCCCTGCTTCATGTGAAAAGCATGTAGGATT